AAATTATGTAATAAAGGAAATTGCTTAGTTTATGAAAAACACATAGTTTTTCCTTGAAAACCCTTCATTAAGTTTTTAACCTATAGTAATACTAATGTCAGGTTGTAGAATGCTTTTATGTCTTTCCTAACCTAGAACTTAACAGGCTTTCCGAGGTTATCCAATGTCCATGCATGAGTAAAAGAAATTAAAATAACTAATTCTAAAAATATTACTCCTCACATACCCACTTATATTTATATAATAAAGCTCTTGGCTCATATATGTGAATAGATGTATGTATCTGATAATTAAAACGATTTTTCCCCCCATTTTTTTTTCGCTGCTGTAAAAACTGTCTTTTAAACACACACTTCTCGGCAGTTAGATTGAAGAAAAAAATATATAATCGTATGTTTGTGTATGTATGTGCTATAGGCGGCTAAACGGCTGAGCGAATTAGCTGACCTGGTAGAAAAAAAATCGATTTTTTTCATCCAAGTTCGATTTCAAAAATAATTTACTCAGATTTCACCGGCAGCACCGGTCATTTTAGCTAATATCATAAAAATCCAGACTGAAAAGACTGAAAAGCTCTGAAAAGTTATACATCAGTTTTCAAGGCTGGGTACACTTTAAAGTATCACCACTCTTTGCCTTTATCTCACGTACACTAACCCACCTTATACTTTTGGTACCCCACGACAAGTACAGTTTTAAAACATACAAGCATTTGTTGTTAGACGTATTTTTTTAAAAGTAATTGGAGAAATTCTCATTTTTCAAGGACACATTTTATTTCCGTCCATATTCTTGTAGTTTATCTAGAATCCACCATTGTTTAAATATCTTATGATAACCTTGCTTTACTATTTAGACAAGAACGTGTTAATAAAATCTGCAAATATGTAAAACCAAATTTGTTTAAATGTATACATATGTATATTTTATTATACGCCACACAATACAGGCATTTACATATTCATGCACAAACTGAGGTCTGAAGGGCCTATTGTTTAAATTTCACAACTTTACGACACAGAAAATCCTTATTGTCAATTTTTTCGCACAAAATATCCTTGAGTTTGGAAATTCGGCACGAAACCCCCCTTCAATACCCCTTCCCTTTCCTCAGAAACCCCCATTCCTTCCCATTCCCCTCCCCCCTCCCATTCCCTCCC